GTTTCGCGACATAGGTTGAATACAGCTCTTATTCAAGACTTAATGATAGTTACTAAAATTATGCAATTCGGGTACAACAGGATTCGCTGTTCAGTTGCATCTGATCCCGGGAGAAAAATGCAGACAATAAAAGGATCGAGGTCACTATACTCTGAAAATTGCTTAAGAATTTGTTTATATAGTCGATTAATTATAGTTAAAGCATTAGGCAAATAAAATAAAAATAATAATAAACAAGTAGAAAACGCGAAACTGAGGCCATTATTAAAAATAGGATGTGGAAAAGATTCTACAAACAAGTAAAACTGATAATAGCTGGCCTTACTGCAATGCATCTATTGAGGAAAACAAGATTTTTCATTCTGAAGAAAATGTTTGTGGAAAGAAGTAATGAAATGGTCTCACCGGCAATCGTAAGAGTGCCTTAGAATAAAAGGTGCTGCGAAAAAAGTCCTCGACCCACCGTCTGACTCCGATAAATCCTTGCTAAGTTTGTCTGTAATGTGACAGACGTCGTCAGAGAGAAAAATTATACTTTGTGAAAAGGCTAAACAATATAGTAAAAAAGAAAATATTTATATAATTTTACGCCCTGATGATGCCAAACAAATGAGAGAGGTAAGCTTAACACGAGTTAATCGGGGTCGTAGGATGGTGAGCAGAGGACTTATTTGCATAATCCAACGGTGTTTCCTTCAAGGTCAATCTTTCTACAGTTTCAGATAACAACAGTCGACGAATACCTTCAAAACAACTTTTGTCTCGAAAAAAAGTAGTCACATTAATACAATGTATTCTAATATAAAGTAAGGTCAGAAAAATACCGATATAGATTTAAATAATAATTCTGTGAGACTCACTTGGACGTGAACGACTGATTGGAGTAGGACATGGCACGGAGTCCAGGTGAAAAGAGGTGTTTGGCATAGCACCCATTCCAATCCATCTACCAGAGCTCTCACGTCTTGGCTTCCCAGGCTCACTCGAAGACCCACTAAGACTGCTGATTCCACCTAAGTGAGGGCAAAGTAGACGTAATTACACCAGCTATATAATGAAGTCAATTATGTATTATATAAGGTAATTAAGAATTAGGTAAGGTGAGTGACATAGATGAGAAACCTAAAATTGTTTAATTGAAGATGTGAAGAACAAGATGTTCTGGCCTCGGGTATGGTCGCAGTCTCCTTTCGACTTATAGAAGTGGGTTGACCTCGTTGTCGCAACTTTCTCTTTGACGAGTTCGGAGAATGGCAAGGCTCACTGATGATGTCGACTACGAGGCCGGCGGAACGTTTGATAATGTATCAAGTCCACTGTCA